TGTTTTGTTGAAGAAACTAAGTGGTTAGCGACCTCTATTTAAATCTTTTTTCCCCTCAACCAATATATCATATTCAGAGTTTTAACTCGGACTTTGTGATCCATTTCTGTATATAAACATCATATTCAATTTGTTACATGTGTTCGTATTTGCTTTTGCATCAGGGGAACTGTTCTTTGTTACTGATAGGAAAAGTGGATTCTGGAATCTCTACAAATGGGTAAGTTCTTCTCTGAAAATTTTTCAGAGGCATCTGGTATGCTCTGTTTGATGTGTGCCTGGTGTAATTGTTGAATGCTGATCCTTTCATAAGTGTGCTCGGAGAATGATTTATTTGGCTGGTGTCTTCATCGGAATGGAATTTTTTACTTTGAGTAGACCAACTTATGTGCAATGGCTCATTCATTCAGAAGCTGGTTATTCAAAATCTCAAGATGATAGCGTGACATTCATAATCTTTACTTCCAGAAGTCGAGGAAAATGCATGATTTGCTGTTTTTCATTGGCCTACAGCGATGAGTCTGTGATTAGTTAACTTTTTTTTTGGGTAGGAAGAGCAGTGAACTTTGCTCCTACTGACAATGAATAAAAGTTTGAACCAACAGTGTGGGCTTATGTTGTTATAAAGTAGAGGTTAATAGGTTTCCTCGACATCGTCAATTCAAGCTACTTCTTTCTAGTGGCATAGATGTTCAGCATCATGCTGCAATAATTTCCTACAAAGTGCACTAATTCTTTATTCTGTGCAAACAGATTGAATCTGAAAATAGTGTGCAAGTAGTATATTCTCTGGATGCTGAGTTCTCCAAACCATTGTGGGTGTTCGGCTCCAGCTCCTATGTACTACTTCAGAATAATGAGGGAAAGAACCTAATTGCCTGCGGCTATAGGTAAGCCCAAGTGTCTTGCAACTTGTTTTCTGTATTTTATGTATGTACCATGACTGGAAACTCCTTTCCCGTTCGATGTTTTCTTCTGTGCATGCATCCGCTCTCGAGCCAAGTGCTGTTGATGTTTCGGATGTTTTATGTGCAGGCAGAAAGGAAGATCTTATTTAAGTATTGTGGATGATGCTCAAAGCTCCTTATCTGTACTTGATATTCCTTTCACAGACATAGATAACATTGTATGTACCAGAGCGTTGTTTCTTTCCTGTTTGCAGCATTTAAGGAGGATACATGTGCCCATTACTAATATATTGTTTTTTTTAAACAGACTTTGGGAAATCACTGCTTATATATTGAGGGAGCATCTGCTGTTGATCCATCATCAGTGGCTAAGGTGCTGAATCATTTTTGTATACTGAGATTTCATAGTAGAGGCTTAACGTGTGCAGAACACTTTTATTTTTTGTTTTTAACAATATACTCCATACACTTCACCATTTTTCTTTTGGGATATAGGACCAATGATCCAAATCCTGAGTGAAGTAATTATCATAGAAGCTATCTGTGTTTCGTTGTTTCAGATAACTCTAGATGCCATTCAGTCCAAAGTGCTCGAGTTCAACATAATTTGGTCATCTTCACCTGACAGTTCAAAGTACCAGTCTTACTATAGCTTGCCGGAGTTTATTGAATTCCCTACAGAAGTCCCTGGACAAAGTGCATATGCATACTTTTATCCTCCATCTAACCCAGATTACCAAGCTAGCAAGGATGAAAAGCCTCCTTTGTTGCTGAAAAGTCATGGTATGATGGAAAGTTATTACAGGATTTGGTTTTGTTTCTACACTCAAGGAGTCAAGGTTATACTATTTAGGAAAATGCATGACCTTTTCCGGTTCTTAGCAAGTTGATGATGTTGCCCTAATGGAAATTGCAGAAAGGCAGTTCATTGATGAGTTGCTTCCTTCTAGCTGTTTTTCTTACCGAAAGAAAATAGTTTGCTTTTATTTTATTTTAGAAGCAATGGGATTAACTCAGCATTCATCTCGCAGGTGGACCTACAGGTGAAACACGGGGAATACTGAACCTGAGCGTCCAGTATTGGACTAGCAGGGGCTGGGCTTTTGTAGATGTAAATTATGGTGGAAGCACCGGTTGGTCTCTGCTCTTCACTTGCGAAGTTTTTATTTGAGTTCTTACTTCCTAGGAGCTGTATGCTGCTTTTTTATCGCACATTTCCCTAAAATTCAGGTTTTTCACAGAAAATGTTTGCATTGCGTTCATAGCTCTGCAATCTATTGTATCTAGAAAGTTGAGTGACAGTTCTTGTGCAACTTCATTTACTTTTCCTATAACAGTTGCGAATTCTTTGTTCACAACTCCCGTTAAAGTTTATGTGCCCACAAATTTGAAGGTTATGGCAGAGAGTACAGGGATCGCTTGCTGCTGAAATGGGGAATTGTTGATGTCAATGACTGTTGTAGTTGTGCAAAATTTTTGGTAATTTATATCCTCTCCGTTTTCTCTGTTGCAGCCTGGGATAAATGTATCAACTTCTGTGTTTCTCATCCAATTCCGTACTTATTTTCCTGTAGGTGGACAGTGGCCTAGTTGATGGGAATCGTCTTTGCATTACCGGTGGCTCAGCTGGGGGCTACACCACCTTAGCTGCTCTTGCTTTCAAAGACACATTTAAAGCTGGATCTTCCTTATATGGTGTAAGTACTTGATCCTAGAGTATTTAGGATTGGTAGGTAAGACATAGTGTAGAACAAAAATTATGTGAAGCATTTGAATATCCTTGGCTGCCATGGTATGTGTGTTCTACTTCTGGTTGTGGATATCTTTGACACGATAGACTTCCTTCTTAATTTTTTTTGTTCTCTTTCATAAACAAACAAGAAAGCGGACCATTGACTTGAGCTATTTAAAATTAAGCAACTAGATCAGAAAATTGAACCTGCTGCAGTGAAAGAAGGAATAGAGATTACTCCTTCTGTTTCTGCAAGCAAACTGGTCTCTGGTATGAGTCAAATCACATTGCATTTCTGGAAACCTGACTACGAGTACTCCTTTCTGATCCGTTTGGGACAATATCCCTACTTTACTCTATGAAGTTTAAATAGCCCAGAACGAAGAAACATGTAACTTTCATCATAACCTGGAAAATACTTCTGGTGTTTCTGTGAACAGGTGGCTGACGTAGGCCTCTTAAGAGCAGAGACTCACAAGTTTGAATCCCACTATATTGATAATCTTGTTGGTAATGGACAAAATATTTCAATGAATATACTCCTTGTGCTTTCTAATTGTGCCGAGGATGACGAAGTTCCCAATTGGTTGCAGGTGACGAGAAGGATTACTATGAGAGGTCTCCGATCAACTTTGTCGATCAATTTTCCTGCCCTATAATCTTATTTCAAGGCTTGGAGGATAAGGTGTGTTGCAGATCCTTTCCTATTCTTTTCTTGTTTGCTCCAAAAATGGTCTTGACCTGGCAATAAGTTAACGCCTGAAGAAGTCAAGCCAATTTTCCAAATTTTGAACGCTTGAAAACTGGAATCTGTGGAATGACCAGCGAGAGCTTTTCTTACGAGCTGCTGTATCCCTTTTTGTTTCGAGGGATTCTTCTCCAAATTTGTCTGAGACGAAGACTTTTTATCCAAGATGAGATATAAGATTGTTCCTGTGTCCTTAGGCTTGAGCCCTTGGAATATGCTCTCCATCTAATACAAGCTATCTGATACAGGTAGTGCCCCCTGACCAAGCTCGCAAAATCTACGAGGCGTTGAAGAAAAAGGGTCTGCCTGTTGCCCTTGTGGAGTATGAAGGAGAACAACATGGCTTCCGCAAGGTATGATTTGTATGAAGATTAGTTTTGTGTTTCTTTTAAGAGTTTTCTTAACCCGGAAGACACACTTTAATAAATATAATCGGGGTTGCATGCAGGCGGAGAATATTAAGTTCACTCTGGAACAACAAATGGTATTCTTTGCACGTTTGGTTGGACACTTCAATGTCGCTGATGAGATCACTCCAATCAAAATCGAGAACTTCGACTGAAAACGAAGGTATATGAAGACTTGGATTATCGACACAAAATCATGCCTGTCACAAATGCTGCTGTTAGCTTATACGTGATTCGATGCTGAAAGCTTAAGCCACCCTGACAAGTCATGTTTCTTGTAATCCAGGAAGTTTGCGATCTGTCTCTTGGAGCTCCAGACTGAGTGTTTACAGAGCTATAATCTAAACAAATGCCACTCTGGTTGGGGTCAATCAAAGCTTTCAGGAGCGCGAGAGTAATCGTTTCTTTGGTCAAGAATTTTCCTTTAGTATTCAGGAGTTTGCTTCCATACAATAAAAGGCCCTCTTTTCGTAAACCCTATCCCGTTTGGAAGGAGGATAACCCTATTTTATGTCTTGCTTTAAATTCTGAAGCACTTCTGTGCTATCTGTTCTCGTTGAAGGACTAGTTTGCATCTGAAAGCAGCAAGATGTCCTGATTAGATTAACTAATGTGAGCTACCAAAAAGCTTTATTGACTTCTTAGACAATTTGCACGGTTATAGTTTCCTTAAATTTCATTTTTTTGAAAGTTAGTTTCCTTAAATATCATGGTTGGCAGGCAGTAAGCGTCATTCGTGGCGTTACCAGACCTCGGAATTAGTTTTCCATTCTGGGAAGTCTTTACTTCTAGATGTTAGACAATGTCTTTGCTTTAGACAGCCTGTTTCCTCCCCTTTTTTTGCTGACGAAAAAATATGGGATTTTTTAGTGTGGTTGTTTGATAGATAAGGTTGATCTGTGTCTGGGGATCACTATACATTGAATTGCCAAAAATCCAAAAAACAAATATGACAAGATTATTGTTGCAACTTTGACTTTTCCTGTTGTTTGAATTGTTCCCAAAGTATAATACAAATGCATACATCGCAACCACTTTCATGTGTGTTATATTGAAAGTCCAGTCGTCTTTGTTTCTGTAATTAATATTTACTTCATTTGGCGTTTCTTTAATTACGTGATTAATCGGCCATTTGATACTACATGGTTGTGCATTTTTTATTTTATATTTGCTATGTTAATTCTTCTTTATAATCAAGTTGTTAGACCATTATACCTCTTCTAACGAATACAATTAGGAAACAAAAAGGAGAGTTTAACTTAAAACCAAAACAGACAACTGTTGTTTATTGGGTTGGTAGGATATGCATGGGGTTTGGTTGTTAGTTGGTACCCATAGTTTAATTCAACTATGACAGCTTCTTGTAACTTTCTCATATTCTCCTTTGAATTTTCTTGGTGTGCCCCATACTGTGTTCCCATGGCTGTGGAGTAATAGTAATAATATTAACCGCGGTAAAACAATTTCACTGATACTGAAATGACTCTTTGGCTATCTGATTACACTAATGAAGTAACCAGATGATCCGCTGTAACTGCAGGGATATAGGAATATTTACCGTCCTTTTACAGTATTACAAGATGATCCGAAACAGAAGGAAAAAAAAGGGGAAATGATATGGTTGCTCAAGAACACCATTGATTAGGCTGTACTATCTGGTTTTCTTTTCCTCTCTGCTTTGCTCTTGACAGAACAGGAAGAACAGTGTATATAGACAACTGGGGAAGATAGAACAATTGAAGGCTCTTCACTTTGATGAATCAAAGATTGTGTATATATATTTATATATATTTGTAGTATCTATCTTTTTCTTTTTATCGAGCAGGGGAAGGAGTACTGAAGGACAATCTCATCCCGAGAATCCCCTGTTTGTAAGGCAAGAAAGTCCTCTTCCTCATGTCCTCCGACGCTGCTTTGTTCTTGGTGTAATGCAGCTCATGAGCCGAAACTGGTCCTTTCCTCCTCAACGACCCACCATTCGAACCGTTGCTGTCCGTCGACCTGATGCTGCAGCTCTTCACATCGTCGTGCCTCCTGAACAACCCACCGAAAACCGCATGCTTTCTGTAAGGATCTCTATCCGCAGCACGCCCTTCCGACGCGCTTCTGAACAGCAGCAGGTCGCGCAGTCTCCACTTCCTCGACGAACTCTTTCCAGTTGCAGCAACAGCAGAAGAAGAAACAGCCGCAGTTTGCTGCAGATTGTGCTCTGGCTCTGGCTGTTTTTGTTGCTGTAGCTGTTGGAATTGCCGCTCCTCTTCCTCCCATGGATACTGCGAAACCCTGTAAGGGGACAAGGATCTCGCGGCCCCTCTCCGGCTCGAACTCGAGGTAAGATTTCTCCCTCTCCCCCTTTCATTACTCGAATCAACAAACTCCATTGGAGCAGCAGCAGCAGCAGCTTTCTTCCTCCTGGGGGAGAAGGCGAAGGCGCCCTTTATGATCCGCTTCCCTTGCTCAATAGGCGACCTGGGGGACCTGGGGGAATGAATCAGCGGGCTTTTGATCTCCTCCACCTGCAGCAACCTCGGCGGGAGCTTCAAAGGCCGGATCTTGCCACCGTCGAACAGCTCGTCGGCAGCAGTAAGAGAGGACTCCTCCAGATCGGCGCTGAAATCGAAGGCGAAATCCTCGTCCTTGAAGGAAGGCAGCTTCTTGGGGGGCGATTTCGGCGTCCCTGGTTTCTCTTCCCAGTGGAAAGGGACGCCGCCGCCGTCGTACTCGGAGAAGTTCTCGAAGCTCCGGTAGAAATCCGCCACCCGGCCCGGGCTCGTCGGGGCGCTGAGGGTGAGGTCGCCGAACCGGCGCGGGGAAGCCGGCGCGCTCAGGAAAGGCAGCGGCCTGGCGTCGTTGAAGTCGAATCCTGCCATCCCTCTGCCTGGTGATGAAGGTATGATTACTTCCATTCTCGACATAATAATAGCTTGTTTCCTGCTTTCTGGGTTCTAGTGGGAAACTAGGGAAATGGATGAATGAATGATTGCGAAATATGGCGAACTCTGCAATCTGGGAATTGGGAGGATTTGTGGGGGAATAATTATGGACGGGAGGAGAGGGAGAGGGAAGGGTAGGGCAGGGGGCGGTAGGAGATAATTGACTATGGAGTCACAGGACTGTAGCCGCCGACTTTTAATAGTTGGTCAGTCTCTTCTTTCCTCTCGTTTCTTGTCTGATTTTTGTTTGCTTGCCGCGAATTTATTTATGTGGGAGTTCAGTTTCACATGGGGGGAAAGGGAATGACGAGGAGGGTTCCGGATTGGGGTATAGGCATCATAATAATTTGACCATATGACTTAGAGAGACTAGAAGGGAAAGAACAATTACAGAATTAGTCCCTAAACTTTTAATTACTACTTACTAACGGATTTCGTTCTTATCGAATTATCATTGAAGTTTGGAATGATGAGTGATGACATGATAGTCTTAACTTTTAGGGGTGTGCAACGAATTGATATGTTCGAACCGCATTAAAACAAACTGAGGTTTGAATAAGATCATACCGAACCGAATATAATGTGGTCAGTTCTTGGTCTCGTGAATTTTATAAATACCGAAGTAAAATGCCAAATGCACGGTTTGTCCGGTCTTTGATCCTAAGTTGTTTTTCACTATTGGTCACGTGTTTTTCTAGTCCAGACCGAAATGTTGCACATCCATAGACAATCCCTTCATTTAGCTCTTTTTTTTTTTTTTGACCAAATTTACTAGATTAGGATAGGATAGTCACCATAACTAATAGTAAAATATGTCTGAATGATTCTTCGATTACCTGCTATCTGGAAGGGCATGGAGGGAGGTAGGGGAGTGGTTTTAGGTGATGTGCCTTGGATTTAGGACGTCTAGTGAGTTTGCGATTGGTATTGCTTAACACAGATACTCATTCTCTGCTTAGTTACCGGGTACGGTGAGGGTGTGGTTTCAAGTGTTGTGGGCTAGGAACCGGGTTGGGTAAAAGGTTTTGATATGGATCGACCATGAGTTAGAACAAGTCATCACTTCATCAAGATAATATTTGTCTGATTGTTTTTGTTATTGATTTGGTTGAACCAAGGTTGTCAACCCGCGGGTTGACCCGGACCCGGTCGAGCTAGTGGTTCAAGGGTTAATGGGTCAACCGTTTTAGCCCGGAAATATAGAAAGAGTCATTATATTGTACTTATCCTCATAAATTATATCAAATATTATCTAACATATGAGTTATAACATATAATATTACACCAAAATAACATATCGTACTTAAATCCAACATATAGTGAAAATTCACACACACTTATATAACATAAATATTCAAATGTTCACCTTAGTATTCCAAAGATTGAGTTAGGCGAATTTTTTTTTTGGAAAATACGCGTATTTCGCAAACTAAAGAAAAAAATGACACAATTTGACCTCCAACCCGGTACCTTATTAGCGAGCGGCCCGACGAATGCGTGCGGCCCGTTTTTCTCACCGGGTTAGGGTCAAATTGGGTCGACCCGTGGGTCAACCCAGGCGCCTGACACACGGATGTAGATAATTTTTTTATTATCTCAGAGTGTGTAAAAAACAAAGTTTAGGTGGTGATATGCTAGTGACCTCGAAGTCAAGTGACCATTTATGTAATTGGGGCTTGATGGTGTTTTGGTGAGCAAGTAATTTCCGGTCCTGTTAACGGGTGGTAGGCTGGTAGCCTGGTAGGTGAATTGCGATTAGTGATGGCAATGGGGCCGGGTGGGGTGGCCGTACCTCAATACCTATGTTCCGTCCCATATTATTAAGGGTCGGGGTGGGTCGATGTATTCTTACATGTTATTAAAAATAATATGCGCAAAATTTAATTTTTATGATAAAATGAATGAAAAAACACTTTATGAATGAAAAAATGTGATAATAGAATGGGTAATTGAGTCTAATTTATTGAAAAATCAAGTCTAACTAATTGAAAAGGGCAAAAATAAGAGAAATATGAATAGATACTATAAAAAATTGCGATAGGTCAAGAACAGGGCGGAATGAGGTAGGGCGGGTCCAAAGTAGATACTCATGTCTAGCCCCACACTACTGCGGGTTGGGTAATACCCGACGAGACGAATTCAAATTATCCTCCCTAACTGTGATCTAGACGCGAGGAGGAGCGTTGTTAGGGGGAAGAAAAGTATATTAAGGTGAAAAAAGAAAGTTATTTTATTTAGGAGTTGGATTAGCCGTAAAAGGGAAGTTAAGTATAGAGAGGGTATTAATCTTATATATTGGAATTTTGTTGAAGGTAAAGATTATGCGTGTAGAGTTCATTTGTGTTCTCTATAAAAAAATGTTCATTTCTGTTCATTTGATTACTATTTTCTACCTGGTGTTCGGTGAAAATCCAATGGTTAGTAACGAAGATAAAAATAAAATCATTGTATAGTAAATGATATTGAGCATAGTTAGTAAATATTCAATTTGTTATGCGTATATATGTGTGCATAAAATAAATATTCAATTTGTTACGCGTATATATGTGTGCATAAGTATTTTATGCTTTAAAAATTTTAGTTTACGTACTATTGACATGCCATTTCATTTTTCTCGTCCATATGATGTCTCCAGTACAATACTCTTATAAAACCCGTATAACACGTTTAATATTTGTATTTAATGAATTTAATTAATAAATTCAATATTATTTATACATTATTTACTTTCAAAATAATTAATTTCACAAATCTTATGACTTTTGAAGTACTATTAGGCATATTATTAGTTTAACGATTAAGTAAAACATTGTAACTTACGCGTATCGTATTTTACACTATGGTATTGATTTCTGTTTGATGTTTTTACGTGCACTGGAAATTATGAAGTCATCTATCATTATGCAGATTGCCTGTGTATATTAGTTCCTGGTAGCTGGTAGTGTGATTGACCGGTCAGTGATAGTGAAATTATGTCATTGCTTAACATTGTTTGCTTGGGTTTAACACGGAGGAAGAAGCTGTAACTTAAGAACAAAGAGAAGTGGGATTAATCTAGAAATTGGGTTCGGTAGAAACTTAATCCCAAAAGTGAAAGAACAAATTAGTGGTCGTATTAAACTTTGTGTTACTAATTATATTGTGTGGTAGATAAGAAATTGACACTGATAGATACCAGTGCCCTCTTGTTTATTTGGCTATACTTTAATTGCTTATGGATGGAAGGGAGTCTTGTTCCTAAATCCTAAGTCATTAACTAATAGATTTATCGGGAGATTTTTATGATATTAGTTTTTTTATTGATGTTGGTGGACAAATGACGGTTGATTACAGAATGTTATTTTTTTTGGTTGTTCGCCTTCAAATTTTAAATTTAAAGTGTGATGAATATTTTCATCAACACCTTATCATTAGCTCAATTTTTGGATTTACAAAATAATTTTTTTTTACAAATATTTTGGATTTGCTAATTTCACGATATCATTTATCGATATTTAGTATTAAACAGGTCATATTGCTTGTTGTTTCAGGTGGAATTTCGCGTGATCAATGCACCCTGACTTCAAGAAAACAGAAAATGATGTTACTCGGTTCACACATTTTCAAACACTGTTCGAACGAGGGTGTTCGATGCATACATCAAAGGAACTTGCTACTTTTACCTCTACTCCTATGGAGATTCCTTGAGAGCTCCACAACTGCTGACTACAACTAAACAGAGAAGCCTCGCTGGAGGGTCGCTGGTGCTACTGCTACTGCTACGGTTACTGTTCTAGAGAGAAAAGATAAATTTTGACGAGATTTGTTGTGGTTTGATTTGTCTGTCCCTCCTCCAGAGTCTTGCTGTGAGTTTTGTTGTGTCTTGTCTTCTAACCGCCTTCTTTCTCTTCCCAAAAATCAGCTCCACGTAGCATATGGTAACTCCTTCGAGCGTCCTTTGCAAGTTAGGTGCTGCTTCTGGTAACCACATCGACACGTTATCATGTCACTTGACCATTGGATGGTCACTGTACACAAAACAAATTGGACGGTATCCATGTTGACTAAGACAACAATCCATGGATGGTACGCATATTAAATGGTCACCATACCCTAGCATCATCCATTAGGGTTTAGATGATATCCATTACGTTGGACACTACCATCCATTATGGATTTTGGATGGTATCCATGTACTTGGACACTACCATCCATGTACACATGGACCAACTACTCTAATTGCCCAAGCTGTTCATACAAATAATAATTAATGAAAATTATTTTGGTGTAAACACTTATTTAACTTTTCTGCGGTGTTTTTTTGTTTGTTTGTATATTGTTTAAACCGGGTTATGTTATTGAAATGCTATCTAAAAAGTAAAATGTTCGGTATTTATAAGTTGTTACAGTATATATAAGCTATTATTTTAGAGGTTGTTTTAGTTTTGGTGATGTTTTGTTTGAAATAGTTACAATACTTGTATTGTTCGCCGTACATTTACTTTTTAAATCTTTTAACTCAAACAATATAAGTATTGTCTGTTTGATGTGACAGAAACTATAACTCTGTTACGTGGGTTATTTGTTGGGTAGAGTTAAGATTCCTTTGAGTAGCGGCAAAGTAATAGTAGCCGAGTAGGCTTAGGATTAGTTTAGGGTTTACGGCCCTATAAATATATACTTATGTCGTTCGTTCTATTCAGTATATGAAGAAGAATATTTCAGTTTATCATTATTAGTTGTTAGCTTCTCCTTTTCGTCCCAGTTCTCTTCGTTCTAACTCTATTTCTTTCGATTATCATACGATTCTTACGATGTAAGTTGCGTGAGAGTTTCTCACCGGAAAAGATATAAATGATATTTTCCTAAAAAGATAATATAACTTATTTAAAAACTGCGAGAACTATCTAAAAATTCAAACTATGCAAACCACAATACACCAATTTTCTTATTACACGTCTATAATATTATACAGGTATTATTCACAATACATCTTTTAACTATCATGAAAATCAAACCATCTCTTAACACAATTTGTATATCAAGTTCGGTGGTAGAATATATTAGATGTATTTTAAAATGCATTCAGAAAAGTTTTTCGGTTTCCTCCTAATACATTTAATTTTTGTAATGTGTGTGTTATTTGACTTTTAGTAATCGGATACGTGCGTTTGTCTTGGAGAAAATATGGAATATGCAGGCCTTCTAGCCAGTGGGCCTTTGGCTTTGAATTGATTGAATTTAATCTACTCATCTTTCAAACTCGGGTGCCAATTATCGGTGTATCACTCTCATGTTAAGAATCCAACAAACTGACATTATAAAAAAGAATCCAACAAGCTGAAGACAATACTATATTATACAGAGTGTAGTTCGTTAAAAAAAATACAGAGTTTATTACTATGATGGGTTATAGGTATAATATGCCCCTCTACTATGACGTTTTATCAAACATGCCCCTCTACTATTTTTTACAGCAAACATGCCCCCTGTACTTTGAAAAAATTATCAAACATGCCCTTCTATTAAAATTTCCATTGAAAAAATCGTCAATCATGGCTGAACCGAGATTTAGACAACCCGACATCGGCAAATGGGAGCGAAAATGTCAGTTTTGTCTCCCGTTTTATTTATCTGAGTCTCTTAAAAGGGAAATTATTTGAATTATTTAGCTATACAAAAGAACAAAAAAATTCTAAAGTGAAATTATTAGGGATATTTTAGACATTTGTGCCGCCAAAACCAAAATTCGACATTGGTTAATGATTTTTGGATAAAAATTTAAACAAAAGGGCATGTTTGATCGTTTTTACAAAGTACAGAGGCATGTTTGATGTAAAAAATAGTAGAAGGGCATGTTTGATAAAACGTCATAGTAGAGGGGCAGATTATACCTATAACCCTACTATGATTCTATGAATTCGTAAAAGCAGCGAGTGATCCTTATAGCTAAACAATTCTAAGAACCTAACACGTTGTGGTGGAGACAAAAATTTGAGTAGGGACGGATCCAAACTGTTGTAAATGGTGAGGGTTAAGGTCTAACTGTCAACTTTATTTCTAGAAATTTGTTATGATTTTACATATAACTTTATTTCAATGTGTAGAGGGGAAAGGGTTATACTATACCGCTCCTGGTTTCAACCTAGCTTCACAACTACTAAGACGATCTTTGAAGTAGAGTTTGGAAGTTGAAGATCTCATTACTACGTATGTAGACTGTCTGATATCTCCATCGAAGCGATGAGAGAGCCAATAGGGATAGAGGAATCAAGCTGAAGGGCAACCTTCCAAAATTTGAGTATTAGTGTTGGGTCCAAGCCCTCAAAATTCGGTAAGATCTTTGGATGAAATAAGTGATACTTTGGATGGAATATTTCTAAGAGTTGATAACAAAAGTATTTAATAAGTGATTATTTCACTTTCGTTTGATCCTCTGGACAATAAATTCGTAAATATATTCAATAAGAGAACTATGCGAATTAGTTATGAGTATGACTTACTACTGTGATATCGATTAATTCTCTCAAATGACAAGTTGTGATACGCAATAGTGCATATTTCCTCTCAGATCTGGATCTCTCGTTTTATCGAATGCTTCTCTTAATTTATATCCTATTTATTTATCGTGCTTCTTTTTAGATGGTCTGAGGGCTTGTTGGGATGGATATAAGCTAAATTTACATTAATATTCTGTCTTCCTAACAATCCTTTAAGGAGATTCTGGCTCGGAACCCCCTTCATCCACCTTTTCCTGCTCTCTGCGCAATTCACGCAGGGAGATTTTGGGTAAAATACTAAAAACCATTTTTACTCACAAGGTCTGTAGAACTTAATTTGTCCATGGGAAGGCAATTACACGCACGCAACCAGAGATGCGAGCTTTAAGTGACATGATGGAGGCTCATAATTATGTGGGCCCAATTAATGAACATACAAGTTTCTGCAACCCACTAAACTATAGAAAACTATTATTATAATTAATTGTAAAGTAATTTAATTATTATAATTAATAGTATTTTGTGTTCCTCTACTATTACAAATTAACAAACGTAATCCTGTACTATTTGAATGCCCGAGAAAGGCAAGGTAGGATTTGCTAATTGTGAATTTTTTGTTGTTGTGAATTTTGAATGTCCGAGACGGCAGGGTAGGATTTGTTAATTCTTACGTTCAGGTGGGTATTGGTGGAGTTGGTGGATGGCGATAAGCTTGGCGCCGATGGAGTAGCAGCGCGCCAGTAGGTGGGCGTCGGAGGAGTTGGGGACGGCGGAGGTGAAGATGACCGCCGAAGGAGTTGGTGGACGGACGAGGTGAAGAGTGAACGCCGTAGTGGGTGGGAACGTCGACGACGCTTCAAGAGAGTACGGAATTAGATTTAGGGATATTAAGGATTTTTTTGGTGAAAGTATCATTGATTTTTAATCCGCTTGACACAATAAAATTAAATTATAATTTGTTTTAGTAAGGGGTAATTGGGTCACTTTCCACCTTAGTTAACGGCCACTTCACAAAATTTTCAACAGAATGGTATTTTTGTTACGTTGTGATATTAGAAGGGTACGTCTGTGCAAAAATATAGTTCAAGCACACATTTGTGTATTAAATGCGTTATACGTGTTTAATACGTGAAACATCAGCCAAACAAAAAAATAAAGAGACAACTCTATAATATTACGTAAACTAGAGTTAAAATTTGATTTCAATTTTTTTTTATGAAGTTTGAATCATTTATCAATATCAACCAAGTGGGAAAAATAACTTACATGTATAAACTTTTATTGTAAAATTTCATGGTTTTATCAAAGTTCTAAGTTCAACTTAGCTACTCTCACTTGACTTTAGTTTTGTTTTTCCGCAGCCCACTAAACTTTAGAAAACTATTATTAGAATTAAATATAAATTAATTTAATTATCAATTTAATGATTTAAAATATGTGTATTAAATGTCTTATACATGTTTAATACGTGAAACATCAACCAAACTAAAAATAAAGAGATAGTTCTGTAAAATTATGTAAACGAGGGTTAAAGGTATATTTAATTTTTTTTATGAAGTTTAAATCATTTATCAATGTCAATCTAGTGGGAATAAAAACTTACAATGGTAAATTTTTATTGTAAAATTTCATGGTTTTATCAAAGTTCTAAGTTCAATTTAGATTTAGATACAAGAGAATGTTGTAAAGAGAATTCTATGAAGCACAACCGTTACTTATTCAACAAAATCTCATTCCTCTTTGTTTCTCAACACCAAGGTATGTAACCACTTCTTACTTTATTATTTTAGTACTTAAGATGTTAATGTTCATCTATTGGTGATTGGACAACTTTGAGGACGAAATGTATTCTCTTAAATTAGAGCCACCTTCGTGCTCCCTAATCTTGATATTCCTGAACTAATTGAATTTCACTCTAGATAACATTCTTACAAAGAATCTTTCATATTATTTTGAAATGTTAAAATTCATCTTAAATTATTTTATTTTGATTTTTCTGATAAAAAATGAGATCAAGCTCTTGCTTTCGAAAAGATTATTCAATAATCCTACTACAACATTACAAGATCAATCTCCTATGGTTGCTTGAGAAAATACTATACATTACAAGATCAATCTCTTATGGTTGCTTGAGGAAGGCCTATTCATTAACCCTACGATGCTACGACTACATTACAAGAACTTAATGAATTGAAGTGAAAGTATGCTAATAAGGTAAATATCAGTTTGAATCTAATAATTGATTACAACTCCTAATTTTTTTTTCATTTTATTTAGACTAATTTGTATTGTATTCAATACTAAGTTGACAATTTAAAAGCTATTAAAAACGTGGAAGAATAATATCACCTCTCTCTCATGTCTTATTAAATGAAGGAATAAAATATTTACGAAAGAAATGGATTTAAGTTGAAATTCTACATAAAGTTTAGTGAGTATAATACGTCATCACAAATTTTATAACCGAATTAATAGTTTTGAATATAAGCAATGATTTCCAACAACATTTG